GAAGAACAAACTGGCAGTTCTATTTACAGAGGCCAAGGACAGTAGTTATGGAAAGGAGAATGGGGCAGCCATTTCAACTTATCTAAAAACAGTTTTGCATTTTATAAAATAGTTTTGCTCCGGTTCTGGCTCTAGGCCAGCACAATATCACACTGCGACTGGTCCTCCAAAACCCCAGGTGTCCTGAAATGACATCTATCCCCTGCCCCAGACAGGCCTACCTGGCTTCTTGTGTCCCTGCAGGGAAGGTATAAGGTAAGAATACAGGTTTTGGCTGGGCGCGGTGGCTCATCCCTGTAATCCCAGCACTTTGGGAGGCTAAGTTGGGCAGATCACCTGAGGTTGGGAGTTCGAGACTAGCCTGGCCAACACGATGAAACCCGCCTCTACTAAAAATACAAAAATTAGCCGAGTGTGGTAGCGCATGCCTGTAATCCCAGCTATAACGGAGGCTGAGGCAGGAGAATCGCTTGAACCTGTGAGGTGGAGGTTGCACTGAGCTGAGATTGCCCCACTGTATTCCAGCCTGGGCAACAGAGCAAAAGTCCGTCTCAAAAACAGACAGAAAGAATATAGGTTTTCTGGAATGAGGAAGATGCCTAAAATGAACAATATAAAAAGCTACTCACAGTTGTGGGTGGCTGGGCACCGGGAGCTGCCGGGAGTAGAGGGGTCCCAGTTGCTTTCTGTCCTCTCCCAGGACCCGACCCTGGGTGCCACTCAGAGCACCTGTTGCGCTGCTACCCCCCAGCCAGCTTTCTCTTGCTTTTGTACTTTTTCACAGATGAGTGAGTGTGAGGAGGTCTGGCCTTCTGTGCCTGTAACCACTTCCCCTCCAGGTCCCCGGTGTGACAATGCTTTTGCCCCTGTGGTTGGGTTCTTTCTCACAATGAACTCTGGCCAGGGTGGGGCATGGGCCTAGAGCCTGGGGTCAAGGAACTTGGGTTCTAATCCAGCCTCGTTATGATGTTGATTCACTTAACTTCCCTAAAGGCAAATTTCTTTATCTGTAAAATGAGGATGATGCACCAGCCTCAAACTAGATCACCTAAAGGACATACCATTCCAATGCCTCTTTACCACTAGGCCAGAGCTTTGAAATGCAAGTGTCTACAGGCAGATTAACATAATGGGTGATGGGTACTGGTGTGGGGCAATAGGGAGTGGCAGGGACTATGGGTAATGGGAACGCAGGACTCAAGTGGAAAAGCTTGGCTGAAGCTGAGAGGTGCCTGACCCTCTCCACTGGCCCAGCTGAGAGGTACCTGCCCTACACCCCAGACCCTGATCTGGGCCAGTGGAGAGGGGCAGGTACCTCTTAGTTCCAGCCAAGCTTTTCTGATTGGGAGCACAGACGAACTGCCAGATGTTCCAAGCATTTGGAAGTTGTGCTGTATTTTCCAAGAGATACTAGAAATTTTGACTTAGGTGATAGCTTCCTGTGTTTTTTTTTTTGTTTTTGTTTATGTTTTGAGACAGAGTCTTCACTCTACTGCCCAGGCTGGAGTGCAATAGCATGATTTCGGCTCACTGGAACCTCCACCTGCTGGATTCAAGCAATTCTGTCTCAGCCTCCTGAGTAGCTGGAACTACAGGAGCGCGCAATCACGCCAAGCTAATTTCTGTAGTTTTAGTAGAGACGGGGTTTCACCATATTGGCCAGGCTGGTCTTGAACCCGTCACCTCAAGTGAGGTCAGGCCACCTTGGCCTCCCAAAATGCTAAGATTACAGGCACGAGCCACCGAGCCCAGCTGCTTCCTGTCTATTTTATATTTTTTTGAGAGAGGGTCTCGTTCTGTCTCCCAGGCTGGAGTGCAGTGGCGCTATCATAGTTCACTGCAGCTTCAGAGTCCTGGGTTCCAGTGATCCTCCCATCTCAGCCATTTAAGTAGCTGTTAGTACAGGCATGTGACACCACACCTGGCTCATTTTTTTATTTTAATTTTTTATACAGATGGGGAGCCTCACTATGTTGCCCAGGCTGGTCTTGAACCCCTGGGCTCAAGCAATCCTCCCACCTCAGCCTCCCAAAGTGTTGGAATTATAGGCGTGAGCCACCGTGCTCAGCCAGTTGCCAATTTTAGAATGTAAAGCCCAAAGTCACATCTTTTTTTTTTTTTTTTTTTAAGACGGGGTTTCACCATATTGGTCAGGCTGGTCTTGAACTCCTGACCTCAGGTGATCCACCCGCCTAGGCCTCCAAAGTGCTTGGATTACAGGCCTGAGCCACTACGCCCGGCCCCAAAGTTGTTGTATTGGACCGAGCGTAGAAAGTTAGCACCAAGACAAAAGTATGCCAGATTGCAGGGTCATTTATTATGCCGGCGACCACAGAGGACTCACGTCTCTCCAACCTGTGGTGTCAAAAGGAGGGTGCCACGACTTTTTATACCCGAAAAATCACCTTGGGTGTGGGGGTGAGGAGCGGGGATGGGGATGAAAAGGTTTCGGACATTCCAAGGGCTTGGGGATTCTGTGATTCACCTCCTGGGCGGAGACAAGGGCGGGGGTGTCCGGACATTCCAAGGGCCAGGGGACTTTTGTCATTCTGTTTGTTACTTCAGTGGTTTACCGAAGTCAAGATAAGCATTTGTTTACACACAGATCTTAGTTATCCTGGGCTGCTTATTTTAGTTATTACTAAATAACTAAAGCAAAGGCTAGCAATTCTGGCACAATATCACAAAGTCACATCTTTAAAAAAATGCTATGTGAGTCAAACAAAACATTACCTTCAGTTTACATTTATTAGGGAGTGTGTCTCTAGTGTCCAGTCCTGGGCTGGACGTAAATACTCAGGTATGGTATCTGATACAGTTCCAAGTGTTCTCACATCTACTATCAGGTCAAATATTTAATGAGACTCCATTATATTCTAGGGATACAGAGATGATCATGCCAAAGTTTTTGCCCTTGTAAGCTCATGGCCTATGATTATCTAATCAGATCCTCTCACTAACTGCTCCCCACACCCCAGACCCTGATCTGGACCAGTGGAGAAAGATTTTGCCCCTAAGGTAGAGTTGCAAGATTCTTCAAGTAGAAAATATAAGATAACGGGCTGGGCGCAATGGCTCTCACCTGTAATCCCAGCACTTTGGGAGACCGAGGCGGGTAGATCATGAGGTCAGTAGTTCAAGACCAGCCTGACCAACATGGTGAAACCCTGTCTATACTAAAGATACAAAAAATAGCTGGGCGTGGTGGTGGGCACCTGTAATCCCAGCTACTCGGGAGGCTGAGGCAGGAGAATCGCTTGAACCTGGGAGGTGGAGGTTGTAGTGAGCTGAGATTGTGCCGTTGCACTGCAGGCTGGTGACAAGGTGAGACTCTGTCAGAAAGAAAGAAGAAAGAAAGAAAGGAAGGAAGGAAGGGAGGGAGGGAGGGAGGAAGGAAGGAGGGAAAGAAAGAAGGAAGGAGGGCTGGGCGCGGTGGCTCAAGCCTGTAATCCCAGCACTGTGGGAGGCCGAGGCGGGTGGATCACGAGGTCAAGAGATCGAGACCATCCTGGTCAACATGGTGAAACCCCGTCTCTACTAA